TTGCTTGTCTTTGATAAATGCCTTAGTTATTATCAAGACATCGGTAATGCCTTAGAATTTCCCACCTCGTATTTTAAAAAGGGTAAAACATGTATTTTAAAGGAAATGAATTTCTAGGGTGTTACAACCTTACTTGGCATGTAGTGGATTTATTTTGCATGCTTAACTCAACCTATACTACAACTAGGGGTGTTCAAAAATACCCGACCCGACTGACCCGTCCCGCTGTCCCGATGACCCGGCTTGATTTAGACGGGTATTTTTTTTTTCATTTTTATGAAATTCACGGGTCGGGTACCCGACCCGAGAAAATAGCATATTTTCGGGTCGGGTCATGGGTCGACTTATGAGAAAAGCGGGTACCCGCTGACCCGAATATATATACTATATATTTTTTTTCAACAGCTCTTTTCTAGTTTTAGGGTTTATATTATTTTCACTTTTATTCTCTCTCCTCCTACAATACAGCTGCCACTTTCCTCCTTTTTCTTTAGTTCTCAATTTCTCACAACTCTACTATCTCTCCTCCATCTTATTCTTAGATTGAAGAGTTATTATCTCAAAACTCTTCAATTTCACCTGCTTCTCACAAATCAATTACTTGCTTAATTACTTGATTGCCAGCAAGATGTCATACAAAAAAGTCCTAAACTAAGAAGGAAATCAATTGCTTTATCTCTCTTATAGTGTTATCTATATATAGATCTAGGCATCAGCGGTGAGCATTAAATTGTAATGAGTTCGTGAGGGTATACACGACGCGTGCACTGGTGGTGCTTCCAAGTGCGACTGTGTTTTCAGAATGCAGATCTCCTGCTTTGGTTATATCAGTTTTGTTTTTGTTTTGTTTTTTATATAATTATAATTGTGGGTTTTTTTATGTGTGAAACATGTTTGGGATTTTTGGTTCCTAAATTAAAGAATATACGAAGTATTTGATTTTTTGGGGGGAATCTTGTTGTTGATTACTCAAATAGTCGAATGAGCTTGTTATGAATTTTGAGTATAATTTTCCTTACAATTAGTAGTCAAATTCAATTTATGTTTGATTGAGTAATAGATCTAATAATTGGAGTAATTATAGAGAACTTTTTCTTTACAATTTCATTTACGGCTTTTTATGATTACGATCTTAATCCTCAAAGATAAAGGTGAGTTTGTTTTCAATTTTAACATCGAGTACCCATTGACCCGACCCGAGAAAATCGGGTACCCGAAACCCGGGTACCCGGTTTTCTCGGGTCGGGACATGGGACGAGTTTCCAACTACCCGAAGATCCGGGTACCCGAATGTTCGGGTACCCGAAAACCCGGGTACCCGGATTTGAACACCCCTAACTACAACCCAAAAAGCCGTATCTGGTTCTAGGCTTAAAAACAAGAGAAAGGTTATGAAATTTTTTATTGATGCATGTATATGTCGTGCTGGTATGAAGCGAAAGAATCACGCCTCCCAATCACCGGCCCTCTCTGACCGTCCCCGAAAGAAGTGTGTTAGTGTTTGTAACTGTTTATTGTGTAATTGTGTATGTCAATGTCGTCATAGTAATGAGTCTGTAGTCACTAAGGAAGGCCAGAGAACCTTTCTAGCTTAGTTTGTTGTTTCTAATGTAACCACTGTCTAAAACAAAAAAAAAAAAAAAATCATATCTTTACACTTTTAATAAATCTCCCCAAATTAATTATGGTCTATACATGTTTTAAGCTATAATTTACTTTTGGGTCCAATGAATGTGTAATATGTAAGATTTGCTATATTTTAATATGAGATTCCATTGCTTGATTTGCTTTATAGTTCACTCAAAACTCACAAGACCGATTAGTGTGTGTAAAATCTTCATTATTCACTACTTATGCTTGATGGTTGAATATTGGTTTGATAACATTTGTGCATCAAATTTAGAAAGGACATTACATTTATTTTTCTTTATAAAGGATATAATGTATGTAATTATTTGTCATGTAATCTATAGAGAAACAAACCCATGGCATTGCTCGAGTCAGTATCTAGTTAATTATCTTACTAGGCGTGATTTCAACTACAAATTCCCTTTAAATCTGCAAAAAGGGGCATGATCAAGCAATAGGCGTGATTTCAACTATAAATCATGAATAACCAAGCAACATATGACCAATATATCAATCATCATCAAAGCATCCAATCGTTAGTTGTAATATCCTAGGCATGATACTAAACGGATTAATAACAAATCCTAGCATGTCACTATTTTAATAACAAAATCAAAGCGTTATCCTTAAACATGATACTAGCAACCAAATTCAATATCCTAAGAATGATGCCAGAAATAAAAATAACAACCTAAAAATGATTTAATTTATACTCCAAAATCAAAAGAATAATTAAGTAATTAAATTACTTACTTTTATGCCTCGACCTTATTGCTATTAAAACAATACACACGTTAGTAAACTTCAAGAAAACAAAATCAATAAAGTAAATAATAAACTAAATTAGTTAATAATTTAAATATAGATCTAGGACCAAACCATCATAACTATCAACCTTTTACGTCGAGGTCGAAGGCAACATCAAGTATGGCTTGAAGTATTTGAATCTTGCGAAGGAGGTATTGTGACTGATTTAGGGGAGTATCAAGGATGTATTTAGGTTAAGGCTAAGAACATGGGTGTTTAAGAAAGAGAATTGATGATGGTTATTGATGGTAGTTGTCCATGATCTGAAACAGAAGGAAAAAAAACCCTCTATTTATAAGGAAAAATAGAGAGTCGGAACAATCAAGAAAGATCAGAAATTCGAATCAAAATAAAACTAGTTTGACGTGACGCGATAGAACTTGCGCCGCGTTGGTTCCTGTCGCATTGTGGCGCGACGGTTTTGTCGTTGCGCGATGGTTTTGTTAATAAGCTTAATTGTACGGAGTTCGATTTCTAATGGAATTATGTTTGCTGAAAATATCCGATCGCCTTTAATTTGAACGGGATAAGGACTATCATATGAGAAGTTTTATTCAATCTCAAACTCTTTGATCTTTATTTTTTCTGAAAAGATAGATTAGATACTTTTAGAGGATTCTAAAATTCCCTAACTGATTTATTATTAGAAGTATGATCATATTGGGCTTGAATAAAGTATTTGGATTCCATATAATCATTGGGTCGTAGCTAAGGTGGACCTAGGCTTGGTTTAGTAGTTTGGCCACAAATTATTCGTTTTAAGTCAAATTTGGGATTTTAAATTTGTAATATATCGTTAGAAGGCTCTTTTCAAGTCCCATCTAACTTAACAATAATTGGACTGTCACTTTGGACTAAGATAATCAGGATTGGACATTTTTATATTTGGATACGAAATGAATGATTTCAAGGACACGAAATGAATGATTTTGGGTTTAAAGGCACGAAATGAATGGTTTTGTATTAAAATGTTTTAGGGTAAAGTTAGAAATATGGTCAAGGTGTAAGGGAACTTTGCGAGACTCTTCACCAAACTCGTAAAGCAGAACGTGAAAGGTACTCATCACTGAGTTTGATTTTTGAGGAGACATAATTAGGTGTCTACACATCCTATCCTTATTAATTAAAGGTATATGGATATGTAGGTATGTACGTGTCACATGCATATAGTACTAGTATATACATAATCAAGCCTAAGCCACTTCATCACAATCCAATTAAAGAGATTGCTATTAAGATACGCAAATCATATCTTTCTTAATAATTATTTATAATTTGTAGGATCTTTGACTATAAAGTTTGTAGAATTATAATTGAGGTACAATTAAATACGGGGGAGTTTGTTCCCATCAAAATTATTGCAATACTTATCAAAATAGTATCATTTGTATTATTATTTGGAACTAGAGAAGAGCAAACTCCAAATGCTCTCCTCTTAGAGTGCCCCATCAGCAATCACGTGATATCTCAACAGAGACAATTATGTCTATAACACTTTTGATAACATATCGATTAAGCATGAAAAAAGAGGAAATTATCCTCTATTAATATAAATCAAGCAATATGATATTTTCATAAGATTTTAATATTGTTTCCTTTTACAAATTGATATGGCACGGGTGCACTCTAGTTGCAATTATTTAAGAACGAAGAAAGCATAGATTAAAGATGAAATCATGTAGGTTGTATAGAAATCCAAATATTTTCTTTGGTAAAAACCCAAATATTAAAGAATGATACTTTGAGAATCATTCTAGTACAATCCTTTTGTCTCTAATTATTGGACATATATCTTTATTTTTGGGTAATGCTATATAGTTTATTTGCATCAATTTGACCGACACATTTACCGAGACACAACTTTGACCATTAATTGTCTATTAGTAAAAATTGTAACAAAATTATATTATATAACTAGAAATTATGACAAATCTAATGAAACTAGTAACATTTATTTATTTTATAAAGGTGAAAAAATTAACTCAACCATTGTATCTGAATAGTGTAAAAATCAAAGTGATACATTTAAAAAAATCCAAAGGGAGTAGTATCTTTCAATATTGGTATTAATTTAAAACGACACGGCAAAATCACAAGCAAATAAATATAGTTAATGAAACATTTTTTTTCCCTTATAAGCAGCACTAAGAGAAGTGTATATAGTTTTCTTCCCTTCTTTTTTTGGCAAAAGCTAACAAACGTCCCGGGGACGTTGAATAAGTTAACTAAAAGTAGGAAAATTAAATTAAAAGTAACATTAATTCACCGATCGACGCGTGATTTTGTCATGATTTCCCAAATTAATACCATGTTAAGTAATATTTTAAATGCTTATCCAACGCCCCAAAGACGTTCGTTAACAAGATCCCCCCTTTTTCCCCCCTCATTTTATTAATTTTGATCGTGAATTTTCATTGATAAATACATAGTACTAAAGTAAAATAAATATAATCGAGAGGATCTTACTACCATAGATACTCAATTTAGAGATCGTGAAAAAGTAACAATAATGAAGCGAACTCAATACAAGTTGAGTGTTTCGAGAAAACTAAACTTAAATGAAAATGAATTCTAACCATTAACATACGCGTGTCATTAATCTACCTCTTACCTTTTCATTTGTTTTTGCCCTTTGGAGTTTCTCACTCTTATGGTGATCTTTCTCTCTCCTCCATTGAAGCTGCTTCTGAGCTATTTCTACTCCATTGAAGCTGCTTCGAGGTAACATAATTTTATTTTATTTTGTCATCGAATGTCAATTTCCCAATCTAGGTTTTACACTCACACAATCGTTGATTTGACTGTCAGTACATTCAATTTAGGGTTCTTCTAAGTTGAATTGTTGAATTTTTAGCTATAATTACTGAAGTTATGAAAGATTATAACGAGCGATTGTGTTATTTGAGTTTTGCATGTGCTAATTACTTTGATGTTCTTAAGCGAGAAGAATTTTATGTGAATTTTGGAGCTTTATTTGATAATTGAGTCAAATTGGTTGCCAATGTGCTGCATTTTTTGAGCCTAATTTGATAATTGAGTGAAAGGATGATGTTGTATTGCATTTTTCGAGTGTCATCGAGCTCACGAGCCGAGCCGAAAAGTTTTGAGGCTATTAGAGCCCTAGCCAAGCTTTAGTTTTCTGGCTCGTCGTGCTTCGAGCTTGATCTGAACCTGTTTAAATTCTATTGAGCTCAAATATTGGGCCCTAATTAACCCTTTTTAAATGTGCGTGCTTTTTATAAATGCAAATTGATTATTTTGTAAATAAGCATATATGACATTGTATTTTTTTTTTTTCTGCAATGTGAAAAATTAGGTGTTGATGCGCAGAAAATCTCGTCGTGTGAAAGATGGTAATATATGATGCTCCCTCTTCATTTACCTGGTGTCTTGTTTATGTTCTCGAGTTTTTGTATTGATTGAAGTTGCATTTCTTACGATGGTTCGGTACTTGTACTGTTAAAATATGTAGACTGGGAACATCACAGACAATGAAAGTGAAAACTTTAGCTGGAGTAGTGATGATGACGTAGAAAAAGAGAAAGAAGTTTTTGATACAGGCTCTTCTTTGACTACTCTCAGTGCGTTTAATGGCACTGCTGAGGTTAGTACTAAATTTTCTTCGTATTCTTTCCATCCTAGACTAGCTTAATTTAACTTCTAGAATCTAGATTTCATTTGAATGTATACTACTCAAAGTTCTTTCCCCGTGTTTCACCAAATTTGTCAACTTCCGTGTGGTTTTTTCAGATAAACCTCTTTGGTTTCAAATCATGTTTTGTTGGGAAAGATAGCCTTTACAGATTATGGTTCCTGCTTTTTCTATATCTTTCCCATTGTTTTGAAACTTTGGAAATTGAATTTGGAATCAGGCATCCCGTTTTTAATGGTAAAAGATATGGCCTCTCAAAGAATATTATACACAAGTAAATGACAATTTATACTGTAAGCCTGTAAAACAAAGGTGACTAGTATTGTCACATTACATATTCAGAGATACGGACTCATCTTTGATTTGGTCACATTACAATTGATACGGACTCATTTTAGGTGCAAAGGTTAAAAGATTTTGCCTTTTCCACTCTACTTATCATGTGTCTAGAACTTATCAATTAGATATTTTCACTTTGCTTATCTTGTAGTGGTCAAACGTGTATATAAATTCTCCATGTTTTTCTTGTGATGTTTCTATTAAGAACTGTTAATAGACAATAAGGCTTTACTTCTTTGTGAATTTGTGCCCCACTTTTCTGATAGAATTGCAGGTTTCCCAAATACAAATGCATAATTTGTCTGTTTGTAGTTTGTACCCATGATCAGGTGTATTTTATTATTAAAGTTCTTGTTTGCAATATTGTCTGCTGTCAACTAAGCTTGGAATCTCTCTGTTTCAAGGGAAGCTCCTCTTCCGGGCCTTCCTCGACATTGTTTCGCCATTTTGTTGGAGCAGGTTTCTCAGAAAGTTTGGTTGCAAAAGCAATTGAAGAAAATGGTAATTTTACCCCTTTGTTTGGCTTATTCAATCATGTTTCCATGAGCCATTTAGCTTGCTGAATTGTCTTAATTTGATTTGAGCAGGAGAAGGGAATATGGACTCCATTCTAAATGCTCTTCTTACATATTCGGTTAGTTACTGACTAGCTTTATCCCTACCTATTTTGTTTCTGACTTTCTGTTAGACTATTACCCCTTTTCATTATTAATTGTTGGTTTTGATTTTTGGGTTCGAACATTGACCATATAAACATTATTATGGTAAATATCAATAAAGTTTATATACTCCCTCTGTCCCCAAAAGAACGACCCATTTGGCCTAATTTTATTCCCAAAAAGAATGACCCATTTGTTTTTCCCAACATCTATTCATTTCCCTTCCTTTTAAAAGTGTTAGTTTGGCAATTTTGTGTATTTTAATTATATTGGTTGTTGTAAAACAATACTTTAATCTTATTGTTTAATAAAGCATCACATGGATTAGTGCATTATTACATCATGTTTATTAGGCATAGGATAAAGATAAAAACTTGCATCTAGAACTTTGTCTCTCTAGATATTAATTGCAAATTATTGCTGTTTTGTGTTTTCATATACCTTTGTACTTGCAAATTAAGTTTCTCAATACCCGCGAAATCAACCCAAATGGGTCGTTCTTTCGGGGACGGAGGGAGTACCAATTTTCTAAAAATATTGGGTTTCTGACAGAAGAAAAAACAGATGTTAAATACTGTATTTAGTTTTTCTAACAGGACAAAATATAGCATGAACAATGTCTAATCATGTAATTTTATGGGAATAACATGTCTTTAAATATTCCGTGTTCATGTTAATAATGTATGTCAAATGCTTGGACATTGATCTTTAACTTTGGTTATGTTCAATGTTAATCTCTAATTATAATAGTAATTGGAAACGAGACAATCGTGACATGTGTGCTACCTCCTCCTTTCCTAAAAGACGTACCTATACTGAAAAAAGCAATTTTTCAGGAACATTGATATTATTATATAATATAAGTGGACCATTTGTGGTAAATATGATTATAAAAGAGATTTTCTTGGGCACAGTTGAAATTTAAATAGTTATGATTTATTGGCCAATTCTTAAAGTTTAAGATGAACTACCAAAAATGAAATCAAAGCTTTCGGAGATTGGTTGGTTGTGGTGAGGGACAATCAATCAAAGTCTTAATCCCATTGTGGTGAGGGACAAGTGTTTGAATAATGTCATACTACACTAAAATGGTATTTTGCAATCATGGATTGCACTTCTGTCCTGCACCAAAGCAAATCATTTGTCATGAAGTGCTGGGCTTTTTGGTGCAGAACCTGCTCTGATTCCAAATTAATGGAGATTTGCTCTTAGGTTGAATCTAACTTTAATTTCAATCATTCTTGAAGTGTGAGGAAGGTAATTATGCTTCTTCTCCCATGGTGGTCAGGGTTTTGAATTAATTTGCTCTTGGTGGTGCTTCTCTTGCTTTGCTAGAACTCCTACGAGTATCATCAGCAAGTGTAGAACAGATAATTGTAACAGTTATATTCTTAGAAGCATATTGGAATGGGAAGTTAGGTATTTGAAATCATGTACTAATCATATCTTTTAGGTTTTGATGTACGCCTAACCTGCTCTGTTTTCAAATTAATGGAGATTAGCTCTTAGGTTGAATTGAAACTTTAATTTCAATCATTCTTGAAGTGAGAGGAAGGTAATTGTGCTTCTCTCATTGGTAGTCAGGGTTTTGAATTAATTTGCTCTTGGTGGGGCTTCTCTTGCTTTCCTAGAACTCCTAGGAGTATCATCAGCGTGTAACAGTTATGTTCTTTAGAAGCATATTGGAATGGGAAGTTCGATATTTGAAATCATGTACTAATCATATTTATTAGGTTTTGATGTACGCCTTATATTAGTTTTTATGAAGCAAACTAGTCTTCTATTAGTACTTTTCTTTTCTTCTAAAATTGTTTTTGTGAAGTAAAAAAATAAAAGTTGTAAAATAACTGTCTAAAAAATTTAGAAAATATTGAGGGGCATTACTGTTATACGCTACTTGGACGATAGGAAAACACTCTCATGTCCTGATTTTACCCACAAACTAGTCTCTTAACCGTAGTTTGATTCTTAAAAACTACCAACCAAACAAAATACATATAAAATTATTCATGACACTAAAAAAATATGAATTGTACATTGATATTCTGATTTTTCTGAATAAAGGTTATTGGTTATGCTGATCCTGAACTTCTGGTTATTATTGCTTTGTGTTGCTTATCAACTTCATATTGAGGCGTTGTGATTTCTTTCCTCAAAAGCCTGTACCTTTTACCATTGTACACTTTGCCTGCATTTTGTCAAGGTTAGTGTATGGAGAACCATCATATAAGAAGGATTTACATATGGTTTTCAATGATATGGTAAGGACCCTTGATTAAGTACCAAGGGAGATACTTTGGCGGGCTTTATTAGGAAAAGATGTGTATATATATATATATATATATATATATATATATATATATATATATATATAAGGACATGTATGAGGGAGCTAGCACGAGTGTATGAACCAATGTTGGAAGGCAAAAGAGTTTCCTAATACAATTGTAATACATTGGCCCTTTTCTTTTTTTTTTCCATAACCATAGATGAATTGAGAGCAGTTCAAGATGATATACCGTGGTGCCTAATGCTTGTGGCCTTGTGGGTGATCTTGTGTTGATTGATGAAACGAATGAAGGTGTAGCAATTAATTCTAAAGTTCATCGGGAGTTAGAAACAGGGAGGCACCTTGGATGGCTGTTGGTTTCTTCCAATGTCCAGGGTCTATCATTAAAAAAGGAGGGAGATTGGATGGAGATGTTGTTCATTGAATCAAAGGAACCTGGTTATAGTGGAAAATTGCTAAAGGGTTTTTATTGCTTTTGTGAAGCTGGCATGCCCTATAGATTGATGGAAAATTCACCACAACACAATTAGGCCTACATTGTTTTATGGTACAGATTTTAGGCTGTGAAACATTGACATGTTTTTAAGGTAAATGTGGCGTTAGATGTGCGGACATCCAAGAAAGGATTGGTTGAGGAGTGAGAAAATTAGAAAGAATATAGGGGTTAAATCTGCTGAGAAAGGGCAAATTGCGTAAGGTTGCCACGTAATGGAGTAAACGTGGCTCCGGTAAGGAGACTAGAAAACTCGGAGGATGGTGATTGAGAATGATGTGAACTTTTTGGGGATTATGGATAGGGTGGTCAAGGGTAAAAAATCTATGCCAAAGACATTGTCATGACTTTATATGTAAATTAATTTCAGCTTTATAGAATATCGATGCTGAGGACATGTCAGGACTGATGATAAGTTTCAAGTCAGGATTGCATGTACGTGCTTATTTTCTACCCTGCATATAATTATTCTGATTTACTATCTGGGAAGCTGGAGGTCTGAGTTTGGCAATGTTATTATATGCATTCCTCATAAAAAATGCATCCAACTCATTCCCTTCCTTATTGGATTTGTGCATTTGCAAATAAAACATATAAGTTGTGTAGACACATTGCCAAGAATTATCTTTAGCAAGTTGTTTCCTGGACTTATGTCTATTACATCTGAGGTCAGGACAGTGTGCTAAATGATGTGAGGCAGTTATTTTGTGTGTGTGTTTATGTTTATAATCATGTAGACGCTAACACATCTAGAAGTCTAGAACTATTCCTTACTAATTCACTATCCTCTTTGGACCTCAGAATCCAAATTTCTCTATCCAGTAAGTTGTTTCAACAATAACAACAACAAAGCCTTAGTCCCAAAATGATTTGGGGTCAGCTAACATGAATCGTCATAGGGAATTGTACGATATAAAGAAAATGACACAACAAAATCATCATTTAAAGGAGTTTGAAAAAAGGTGAGTAATGTGAGTAAACGACAGAGCATTTAAGAAAAATTAGGGGAGTTTTAAAAGAGAATCAAGAATAAAATTCAAGAAAGACTTTAAAGAGTGGTTAAAACGTTGAAGTAGAAAACATAAAGGTTTGAGAAAACTTTAGCAAAGGAAAACAATACAGTTCATAAAACATTGGTGGGCTAAAAATAAAAATTAGTTAGTTGTTTGCTGGATATAATTTTATAATATCCGATGTCAAGGTAGTGTATTAAATAATGTTAGGCATGTTGACGTGTTTGGAGTGTACTAATGTTAAAGTTTAGGCAATTGGCCTAGACCGAGCATACTGTACATCTTGATTGAATCAATCAATCAAGCATACTTTTTAATTACTCGCTGTCATTGATTTATAGGCCTTGGAAAGCTCTCCCTCTGATGCGCTAGATATTGAAAAATCTTCAGCAACAGAGCAGAATGGAGATTTGTCTAAGACTAATAATGGCCACTCTGATCAGAAGATTGACGCAGATTCTGATTTCTGGTCCTCAGATTATGACGAAAATATTCCTGATGATTTATCTGATTCAGATAGCTGTCTTGGAATGGAGGTGACTCTCGTATTCACTTCTTTACCGGCATTCTTCAGTTCCCTAGGAATACATTTCTTGAAATTCCCTCTACTCATCTATAATCACGATGACTGGTATATAATGTCACGAATTCCAGGAAATATTTTGTTGAATTATTTTGCTTACCTTCTCTTTCTTAAAATCCTATAGATTGTAAATAGTCACAGCCTTCCATTTTAACCGCATGTTTGTCAATTGCAGGAAACGTGTGGCTCTTTGTCAGAGAAGGATCAGAAATTGTTGTTTTTGGCTGACATGGGTTATCCTGTGGAAGAAGTCAAAATAGCTATAGAGAGATGTGGTATGTAGAGTTCTCAAATGGTTGTGACACCATAGTTGGTTCTTCTCCTTACTTTTTAGTTCTTTTGTTTCTTTATTTCCCCCTTTCATCCATTTATAAGTCATAGTGAGATTATGTATTGTGATGTACCATAGTCCATACTCCATAGCTTGTTTCTTTGGTTCACCATAGCTTGTTTCTTTTGCACATGCTTTTGCTGATCATTTCCTCTTCATATACAGGCCCAGAATCCTCTCTTGAAGAGTTAGCTGACTTTTTATGCGCTGCTCAAATGGCAAGGGCATCAGATGCTACATATGTAGATCCACCAGCTAAACCAAAGGTGGTGTTTGTAACCCCATAGAATGTTCATATCACATTGATTAATATTATAGTATCTAGGATAGAGGTGTCAAAACCACACCCGACCTGAAAAGTATCCAATTCAGATTTGGACTCGCATGGACACAATAATTCAGCATAACTCAAATTTAAAAATTGACTCGACTCGACCCGACCTCACCGAACCCAATCCGATCATCCAAATTGACATCCCTAATCTAAGGGTGAGCATAACACGGTGCCCTATTAGAATTCTCATAACCGGAAATTGTTGCAACATATTCCTCTAAATGCAAACCGGAATCATAAATGTGAATCGGAACTGGAACCTGCAGTTCTGGTTTGTGGTACCCTGTCTATTACTATACTTCGTACTTTTTGCAAAATTATTTTAAAAAAAAATTAGGATGGTCACAAATTTACAACTAGCTAATACCACAAACCAAAAGTAGCTGTTTCGCAAATTTAATACATATATTTAAATTTGTTATTTTTACTTTTTTTAAAAACAATTGGGCTTGAATTGGTAAATGATTTAGGCTTAAGTGATATTTTTTACCAGGTTACAATGTACCCTACAGGTTCCTGACCGGAACCAGAATCTGTGGTTCATAACAGATTTCGGTTCTGATTTAGGGTACCCCGAATTTTTGCTCACCCTTGAAGTAACAATCTGATGCCAGTATTTCACAATTGTATCTACTGCTGTTAGTTATGCTAATTTCCATTTTATTTTAATTGTATTACGCTCACTATCTATCATGCCTGTTTCTTGTTTCAAGCAGCTTTATAGTGATTATGCTAAACATAAGAAGAGGAAGTTGCTTGAGTATGAGATGAGGAAGAAAAAGCAAAAAGGACTTTTCGAGGATGATGAGCCAATTCGCCTCCCCAAACCAATGATAGGTTTTGGAGTTCCTACCGAGCCATGTCTTCCTTTTCGTAGAACACTACCAGAGGCAGCCATAGCTCCTCCATACTTCTATTATGAAAATGTGGCTCTTGCCCCTAAAGGGGTTTGGGACACTATCTCTCGCTTTTTGTATGATGTTCAACCTGAATTTGTTGATTCAAAGTACTTCTGTGCTGCTGCAAGGAAGAGAGGATATATTCACAATCTTCCAGTGGAAAATCGATTCCCTCTTCTTCCTCTTCCCCCTCGCACCATCAATGAAGCATTGCCCTTGACTAGGAAATGGTGGCCAGATTGGGACCCAAGAACAAAGCTTAACTGTTTGCAAACTGCAATTGGTAGTGCAAAGCTGACGGAGAGAATCCGCAAGGCACTTGAAGATTATGAGGGTGACCCTCCAGATCATGTGAAGAAGTACGTTCTTGATGAATGTAGAAAATGGAATTTGGTTTGGGTTGGCAGAAATAAGGTTGCCCCTCTTGAACCTGATGAAGTAGAAATGTTGTTAGGATTTCCTAGAAACCACACTAGGGGAGGAGGAATAAGCAGGACCGATAGATTTAAGTCACTTGGCAACTCATTTCAGGTATGACAGAATTTGCTAGCTTTAATATTATTCTGTTGATGCCCTGATAGTGAAGAGTCTTATTTTAATAGTTTTTCCTACTTCAGGTTGATACAGTTGCCTACCATCTCTCGGTCCTAAAAGATTTGTTCCCAGGTGGCATCAAAGTGCTTTCTCTTTTTTCTGGAATTGGAGGTGCTGAAGTTGCTCTTCACCGTCTGGGAATACCATTAAAATTTGTAGTGTCAGTTGAACTTGCTGAAGTGAATAGAAATATTCAAAGGAGTTGGTGGGAACAAACTAACCAAAAAGGTATTTTGATTGATATTGTTGATGTGCAGCAGCTGACTAGTGATAGGTTGGAGCAGCTGATAAACAAATTTGGGGGCTTTGATTTGATTATTGGAGGAAGCCCATGCAATAATCTAGCTGGTAGTAATAGGGTTAGTAGGGATGGACTCGAGGGTAAGGAATCTTCACTTTTCTTCGAATATATCCGTATTTTAGACTCAGTCAAGTGTATCATGGGGAAGAAACGATGACCGATTGTAATCTCCATTTTTCCAGATGTAACTTCATAAGTGATAAGCCCCTGGCTATTAATTTCTGAATAATCTGATAAAATAGTTGGTTAATGAACATTTCAAAGTGTTAGTTATGTCCTAGCAACATCTTTACCTTGGTGAAAAATCTAGGAATATTTTTTTTTTTCTTTTTCCTAGTGGACTTTTAACCTATTCATTGCCTTGGGTTATAATGTTTAATGAATTCCTGCATGGACAGAAGCAGATTCAGCATGTAAGACGGTGGAATTATTTGCAATAATCTTATGTATTGTCCCTTTGTAACTAAGTCGATTGTCTTTATATTTTCAAAGTTTGCAACTGCTTATGAAAAGTAATTACCCTAATATGCTATCCACAAATATTTCCATGTTTTCTGAACTTGACTGATAGTAGTGTAAATACTTCAAACTACGAATTTGTTGCTGTGTAATGAATCATGAGCTGAAAGCTAAATTAAGTACTTCGTACTACCTCCGTTTCTTTTTAGTTGACACGTATTCTTTTTTAGGAAGCTTTTATTTAGTTGACACGTTTTCTTTTTGCGTAACTTTTTTACCTTGTATTTACAAGCCACCCCACTTGTTTTTTCATTCTCTCTCTCTCTCTCCCCTCCTTAATATATGTGCCTAAATCAAACACGTCAACTAAATAGAAACGGAGATTTTACTTTCTGCCATTCCATCTTGTGATTCATATTTTTGTGAACTGATGTTGGGTTTCTGATGTTGAGTTTTTTGGATGTCGGCGAGTACCCCAAGATTGATCATTCCAAATTTGTTACAGACTTCAGTCTTCTGAGCTGCTTGTTGCTCTAGTCATTCTCAACGTCATTTAAGAATTGATGTGCCCCAAACTCGAAAAGAGCGTTGCTTGAATTATTTTGATGTTGTCAAAGTGCATTTTTTATGGAAAAAAGACTAGTGTAGGCGTGTAGCCTATCAAAGGAGCACATTCCATTCCAAAGCAGTACAAACATCAGCAACATGACAAGTATTTGGCTATAGAATACAATGGTCGCCTCTTCAAGTATAAGTCGGACATAAGCTAAGGGGACAAGATAAGGACGTTGGTCTGTCTTGATTTACTTTACGGTGGTATAGGATAATTACCTATGTGGCACACACTTGGATTTGGGTGTCGTGTTGTGTCATGTTGAAGTATCAAAGGATTTGACACCGGACACTCGCCTTATAGCAAGGTGTCAGGGGTTTTGGTATAAGATATTTATTTTACGGGGCTTTGGTATAGATTACTACTTTACGGAGCTTTTGGTATAGAACAAGGTTAGGAATCACAGGGTATAAGCTAAATGAACAAGGACAGTGATCTAAGTACGCTACGGGCGTTTGATACCAGATGGAAATAAGTAAAAAAAAAAGGGGATTATCATGGAGAACTCATTAATTTGTAAAGACAAGGTCATTATTGCAACCTAGTTACTATCATTGGAACCAAAGGCTGGAAGGGAAGATTCTCAATTACAATTCAATTGAGAAAACAATACTTTACCTGCATTATTACATTTATTAGGCAGGGGTTAATTTCTTTTATGATTGAACAAGCCAATACTTATGTGACACATCGCATCATTTACAGGTACCCAATCACTTTATGCTACGTACCATTCCAATAATTTGACCCGGTAGAAATTGCAAATTGGGTTCTAAATCTTAAATGTGGCCTTCTCAACTGTAATGATCATAGTTGACATTTTATAATATGCATACTGTTCTTTATAAGCCTTGTTACAATAAGTTCTTGTGATGCCCTAATACTCGGACACCACCACAAGCTACGGCACAGTGGGATGCACAACTATCCCAGCAATTGTGTCATTCTTCCAAAAGCCAGAACCAGAAGGCTAGCTGATCTGACTCAACAGATACCATTTAACGAAACAATTATAACGTGCACCCACCGTTTAGGCTTTTTTTAAAGTAAGATGGGGGTTGGGGTGGGGTGTGGCGGGTGGGCAATTGGGCATTACCAACCTTGTAAAGCACAGTCCATAATTCTTACCAATGAATGATGCACTCAACTTCCAGATTTTAGAATCAGGCTTTCAAACCTAAAGCCTCTGCCACCAAATTACAGATTCAAGCATCGATATTGTCTAGCTCGCTCTTATTTTTAATCAGACAATCGATCAATTGACCATTTACTTACAAACCCCATTGCCTCCATCATACCTAGACATGCACAATGTGCTCTTGAATAAATAATTACAAGTAGAATCTAACCTACACTTGACACACTCAGAGTGCAACCTCCTTATTTGTGAATGCTTACCCAACTACCAAGCAGTAGGAACCAAGAGAAACAGCTAGACCGATAGCCATCTAGAAGTCAAAAGTGCCATGACTGTATTTATCCATCGGTTGTCTATTTTGGTGTTGTATACGATTGATCTTCGTATCTTCTCCAGCTGATACTTTTCGCTGACCAGCTGATGCAAGAAGCAATCCCACAGCCACGCTGAACATGATGAGCATGCTCACAAGTAGCAAATAAGTCCTTTTGGATGACCTCCTGTACTCGCCGAAGAAAAGTATGCCCCAAAAGGTGCTCACTAGCGGAAGTGCCTGAAATAAAAATTAAAAGTCAGGCAGAAGGTAGAGATCCATAATTTCTTCTTCAAGGGAAGAAATTTGAAATTACTAACCTGAACTGCATCGGCAGCTGCATAGCCAGCAGCCTGGCCTCCAATGAACTGAAGACCATTTCCAAAGCCACACAACAAACCAGCTGCAACAGCCCATCCTCTTCCATTTCCATCTCTAAGATATTCCTTAATAGATGATTTAGGCAAATTTAAGAGAGGATAGTACAAGAAGAGGACGTTTAAAAAGACCGCCATCACAACAAAGGCCAATGAGAAGTAAAAGAATGCGGTATAGATGACCAAATGAGGAACACCCTCCTTCAAAAAGTGCCATTGATCATTTGTTGCGAGGTTGAATGCTGGTGAGAAGAGAGCAAAACATATGCCAGCAAAAAGAGTTATGCTCATGCCGACCAATTTGCTTTCGCCAACCACCTATCGATTGAGAAGTTTAGACTTTAGATATATCATTAGTGCAATTTTTGATAAACTACCTCCATTGTGTTTTCACTTATGATCGTCGTAGTTCTTATTTATGTCTGCCCCCGAAAGATTGTCATGTCTAGTTACTTTAACGCGGTTGCACATAGGTGGACACGGTACACCCATATTCTTCACTAATCGATAACTGCAGCTAACCGGCAATTTGGTCAGTAGCATTCTTAATATATAAACTTCACTCTGACGATAAATCTTTTTATTCAATTGCACATTAAGTACAGTTTTATGTTCCTCCAAAAATACGAGTCTTTTAAACTACGACAATCAAATAGGGGTGGGGGAAGAAAGTTAATTTTAAAGCCACAGATTTCCATTCAATCAATCAAAGCCTTAACTCCATCAGTGGGGTCAGCTACATGAACCAAATTTGATTATTCCGTATAGTCATCACAGATTTCATTATGATCCAAAATTCAAATTTATTAGTTCGCTTTGCCATTCAGTATTGGTTTGCCAAGTAAATCAAAATTAATGGCAAAGCTGCTAACCTTAATAGCTCTTTGGTTTTCAACAGCGATAATAAAATCAGCTGTTCCAGCCTTTTTAGCTTGCTCTGCACAGACATTTTCAACATCCACGTTCTCCATGATATCTATACATTTTGTACCACAAATTAGGATAGATCACAAAGACTAATGCAATTGCAGGATTTTTGATTTACCTTTTGCAGATGGTGCTGCTTCATCAGCTAAACTCTCGGGCACTCTGCAAAGGGTTGATTGAACCAAAATTGAGGACAAAGTTATATGATGGAAGGACATAAAGAAAAGCTTCCGCTCACAGCATTTCAGAAACTTAAGTAGCATACTTTTCCGAATCTTTAAGGTTATCATGGAAGCTGCGAAGCTTAGCCACATTATCAGCAGCATTAGAGGAGTGTACAGAAGATCCAAGCAACACAGCTGTGAGAAAGCATGCTACCCCAGGGAACAGAAGGCTTGCTTTGTTTATTTTGTCGTCCAAGAAGTAATTCAATGTTGTGCCTGGTGTAATTGAAATTCTTAGTTTCTAGCTATGAAACAACCATTTGGTAAAACTCTTACCATTGCAAAACAAATGTTTATATACACAAAAATTAGGGGGTCGAAGTAGGAAAGAGTATTATTTACCAATTACAACAGCAATGCTAGATGTGACCACTTGAGCGACTGACAGCCCAACAAATGCCCAGGCATATTGTATTGAAACATTACCAAAGCTTAAGAACAATCCACCAAGCATAGCCATCAGAACACACGGCCATGTATCCTACATTAAGAAAAAAAAATTATCAAAAGGATTAGATATTGTGTCGTCTTTTAGTTGATTCGCCCAGCAAGTTCAGATCTTTCAAGACTTAAGGTCATATAGAAAATGTTTACACCTAAACACTATTACTCCATGACAAGTATCATGCTACGGATAGCAATATAATTAGTTGAAATAAAACCATTATTTTCCTACTACATTTACAGCAAATAGTGTTATAAAGATGTCATTCAAAACATATTTGCTAAAAAAACAAGAAATGAGCAATAACTCTATAAGAAAAGTGTCCACACATTGCGACAAATATAGAGAGAGACAAATTTTAGGTGTCATATATGGAGTTGTGTCACAATGAAGGGAATTTGCTAGAAAAATTCACAATATATTGACAGGTTCAGAAGTTGCTCATTTCCTGTTACTAGGTGAGAAAGGACATACATTAATCAAAAACTCCAATTCCAACATTTTTGGCCTGCCTCTTCATTTTTGGTAGCATTTAGCTAATTTAACATTTACAATAGCCAAAGTAACACATTACTACAATACTGCTAATGCTACTACTCCCTCCATTTCATTTTAAGTGTCTTAGTTTGACTATTGCATTTTCATATACACCTCTTTGACTAATATTTGCCCTTAAGATTATACAAGCCGTGTAGATACTTGTTAGAATCATCTCAATATATAGTTTTCAAATATATACATATATTGGTCAAAGTTTCACATAGACATATATGCCGGTCAAACTGGGATACTTTCTAGAAAAAGGAAAAAAAAAAAGGAAAAAAAAATCATGTTACTTTTCACTAAAAACTGCCAGAAGCCAAACAGACCGAAGTTTTGGCAAACCAACTACAGCTTATGTTCCAATTTATACATAGTCTGATAGTCATGATTCATGTATGAAGATAAAGTAAAAGTAATGACTTTAACTTCACACAAAATGTCCTATACAAAACTTCATTCCAATACATCTTTACTACTCAATAGTAAAATCCTTGATCACAAAATTTTCACTCTTGCCAGAATTCCACAAACAAGCAATTCACACAACACATCAAAATTCTCCGTGTAACCGGAAACCTGAACACGTAACGACGTAATCATATAAAGAAAAGGCCAATACCTGAGTAAGCTGGGTAAGGAAATTGGGCATACTTGGTGTACTACCACCAATCTGGCCAAATGTGAGAGCAATAAGAACAGCTGCCAAAAAGTTTGTAATGGAGTAATCAAGATAAGTATGCTGAGGAAGCCTTCCCCTCCTTTCTAAAAGTGTTAAAATTGCTGGCCATGTTCCCAAAAATAGAAGGGACACCAACATACACACTATTGCAGCTGCTTTGCTCTCTACCAAAAACATGATTTTTTTTTTTTTTTTTTTTTTTTTTTTTTTTTTTTTTTTTTTTTTAAATTCAACTAAATTCTCCTGAATGATATTCCTGTGAAGTCATTACACATAAACAATATAGTTAGCAAATTTGAATCAAATCATGATTAATAATTTATCTGATAATCTGATCACAGAAATGAAGTCAGGATTAACCAAAAAAAAAAAAAAAATCTATGATAAATATTAGATCAAATCATACATGAATTTACCCCCACTTTACAAGAAAAAAAAAACAGATTTAAATCTTACTTAATTAATGAGGATTTTATCTGAAATCAAAGAAAATGTTAAACATAGACCTAAAGGATAATAGGATGCGTATGAAATTCAGTGACAAACGAATCCCACTCTAAGAGAAACAAAAACGGGATAATAAGACGCGTATGAAATTTTATCTGAAAATCCAGTGAAATGTTATATGATCGGAATGAAATTGACAATGACACACAAATGAATAATTATGTCACAAATTCACATGTTGAACGATTTGTAATCCCTTTACTTAACCAATCAAAAAAATTAAATCACCAACAATAAAAATCATACAAGAAAAACAAAAAAAAAAAAAAATTTCTCTTAACGCAGATTTTAATAAAAACCTTTTAAAAATTCAATAACGTAGATTTTAATAAACCCATTAAAAAATTCAAATAAACCCATAAAAACCCAATTATTTCAGGTGTCATAATTATAATATCATCATACCTAAAAATAATTAAATAACGTAAATTTTAATAAACCCATTAAAAAATCAAACAAACCCAACGATTTCAGATAACAATATCATCATACCCAACAGAAATTAAATCACAACATACATAACAAATCAATAAACAAACAATAAAAAAAAAAATAGAGATTTTACCTGAATATACTCTAAAGAAATTATGCTTCAAGATTCATGAATAACTAGAACACGGCACAAAAAGAGCAAGCACATCCCTTGATAACACTGAACCAAAAAACACAATAGAAGAGAAATAGAATTTGTACAAACAGAGAAAAAACGGTAAGATTTGGCTGAATATGTAGTAACACCCATAAAAATCACATCACATAAATACTAATGATACACTATAAGGAATGTAATATGTAATAATATTCATGTAGTATATAAAGAAGATTATAGAATCTAAAGTAGTGGTCTTGGATGGTATAACATAATATCGACCGTTGAATATGTTTCGCGGAAACTTTTGGACCGTTTAAAGTTTACAGTCAAGTGAGATGTAACACATAATAATATTTGTTGCAATCATGATTATTATTTTCTTTATTTGATTGATTTCATGTGCGTGTAGAATTGGTTGGTGTGACACATGTAAGCTAGACATAGCTTCCGTTTCTTTCTTTACTTGTATGAATGAATATTTTTAGTATAATGGGGTTGTACTAGAATGATGGAGCCCGTTGCTATAATTTTTGCTTTTTTTTTCCTTTGTTTATTTTAATGGGAGTTTGAATCATTGTGTAGATAGATGTGGTGTAAGATTCAATTTGGACCATAGATTGTGATTTGAAGAATGTGATGGAATTATCTTTTGTCCAATAAAGGTGGGGATTTGTAATATTCACCTCATTGTATTGTTGTGAATTATAGGATGAGTTAGTTGGACCCTTCGCGTGCTACGCATGGACTTTTTTGTGTAGACTTTTTACGTGTTTTATTAGAGGAATTTATGTGATTAGGAGAAATTAGAGATTTTAGCGAGACTGCGATATGTTGTTATATGCACTCGGATGACTATACATCCATACATATTTGTTCTCATTTTAATGATTGTTTTTCATTTTATCATCAAATGAAGACTAAAAACTAACCTTAGGTTAGTTGGGTGTACGGTACACCCGGAAGTATATAACAAATTCTAGATATTGGCTGTCGAATAATATAATGTTGTAATTTTGTACAAAAATATGTTGTGATTAAAAAAACCAAGGAAATTCTGATGGTGATATTTGTAATAACTTGAGTTGAAAAAGGATTTTGATGATTTACGAAAAAAATAATTAGGCATTTTTTATTACCCTTTTTGTTGAAGTAATGTATGTTATTATTTGCAATATGATACTATCTAGACATTTTTATGTAAAATCAATAGAGCTTATCAACAACTTCTTATGGCTCCTTTTTCAGCTCAAGAAATTCAGAGTGCTATTTTTGATATCGATGACAACAAATCTCTAGGACTCGATGGATTTTCTTCAGCTTTCTTTAAAGCTCACTAGTCTGACGTTGGTTCGTCCGTTGTTTCGGTGGTTCATCACTTCTTTGCTCATGGGTATATATTAAAAGAATGGAATTGTACCTTGTTCAGCTTCTGAAAGTAGAAAATCCTGAGCTAATTTCTCAGTTTCGCCCGATTGGTCTCTGCAATGTGATTTATAAGTGTGTTGCTAAGTATCTCACAGGTCTCGCTTGGTCCTACCTAGTTTGAGGGTTGATTACCAGAACATGTTTGTTCCAGGTGGTCTTTTATCGGATAACGCGTTGATTGCTCATGAGGTCATTTCTTTTATGATCAATTCAAAGGCCAAGAAGAGGTTTTATGCAGCCCTCAAGTTGGATATGAATAAAGCCTATGATCGGGTTTTCATTGGGATTTTTTATTTCGGGTTCTACAGGCTTACGGTTTCCCCACCATATTGGATTCATATAATTGGTCAGTGTGTTTCAACAATTTCTTATCAGGTGCTAGTCAGTGGCAATCCTGGCCTTCCCCAGCTTCCCAGCCTCAATGTGGGCTTCGTCAGGGGGATCCGCTTTCATCCTATTTGTTTGTCCTCTGTATGGAAGTTCTTTCTGCTATGCTAAGGAAGGCCGAAAGAGGCTATCTTATTCAGGGAGTTAGTATTTCTAGGAGTGCCCCCTAAATTTCTCATTTATTCTTCGTGGATGACTCCTTATTGTTATTACAAGTGTCTCATATAGCATGTGACAATCCTATGGCTCTCATGACTAAGTTTTGCGGGTTATCGGGACTGGTGATTAACTTACAAAAGTCGTTCATTAAGTTTAGCTCGAATACGCCAGAAGATTATCGTGATTATCTTTCTAGTAGTCCGAAACTTCATTGCAAGCCCTCTCTTGGTTCTTATTTGGGGTTACCGGTTGAGTTCAGTCGAAGTAAAATGGCTGACTTTGGCTTTATGATTGACAAAGTGGTTAAGTGACTTTCTGATTTTGCGGCTGTTGGTTTGTGTAGGGAATATTTCAAGCATCCCACACTTGAGCCCCACTGTGATCATACACTTAAGTATGGCGGCGTCCAAAGGGAAGGAAGCTAGAGCAAAAGAGTCGCCAACATGTTTTATGAACTTGTAAACCGTTCACAGGGTGAAAGTTACGCCCCTTCACGATCCATGAGATCGCTAACTCCATAGTGGTTTGGAACCATGACTGGATATTCGGGGATGAAGGTAAAAATCCAACCTAAAAGAGATTGAACCTGCCCTAAAAATAGGCCTCTACTTTATTCTTCTCATATTCATGTGCGCTTTCTGACTAACATACAATCAATAGGTTAACCCTAAACCTATTTAATCTATGTTTGTTGACATTAATGCACAAACAAATATATTATTGGCGATCACTTGAATTATAATCAAATTAGCCTAAACAAGATTATTAATTATCTTATTAATAAGCGTGATTACGAGTACAAATTCCCTTTAAACATGCATAAAAGGCGTGATCAAACAATAACAATAATAATCAAGTAACAATATAACATTGACAACAAATCATCATCATCATAATATTCTCAATCTCAAAGCATAATAATATTAGCAAGATCCTAGGTCATGATACTAACAAGATTAATAACAAATCCTAGCATGTCACTAAACATTAAAGGTCAAAGGTTTATCCCTAACATGATACTAACATGATAGAAGAAATAGGAAGCAATCTAAACATTATACTAGAAACATACATGATATTAGAAATCTTAGTTAATACCCTAAAAATGATACTAGGAATCATAAAGACATCCTAACATGATACCAGGAATTTAAATAATTAAAGCATGATTTTTATATCAAAAGAATAACAAAGTAATTAAATTACTTACTTGGATGCCTCGTATCTCTTTCTAATAACAAAATACACACGTTAGTAACTTAAAGGAAAATATTAAATCAAACAATTAAATTAAATAATTGAAATAGAGATTTGGGACCAAACCCTCAAAATTTATCAACCTTTCACGTCTAGGGCGAAGACAACTTCAAACTTGGCTAGGTGAGTCTAGAACTTGTGAATGTGGAATATTATAAAAGGGAAAGGTTTAGAAAAAGGGGAGAAAGAACAAGTTTCTAGCTTTTAGAGAGAGAAAGAATAGAATAAGATGGTCGTGAATGAATCAAAACGGGGAAATACGACCCCTATTTATAAAAAAATAGTCCGGAATCGATAGAAAAAATCAGAATTCGAATCGGAATAAAACTGACCCCGGTTGCCAACGATAGAGTCCGGCGCGAAACGATAAGGATAACGTATGACGACAGACTTGTCGTTTGGCGCTGGTTTAAGATAAAACGCGCTTTTGTACGGAATCCTCTTCTTAATATAATTAAGCAATTTAAACTCCATTTTAATGAATTTTAAATCTGATTTTATCATAATAAAACACTTGTTTTATTTCAAACCAAATATATTATTTTTCTAAAAGAGAATAATTATCAATACTAATGCCATTAGAACTCAAAATAACCTTCTAGACTATTCTAGAAGACTATATTAAATCCTAATATTTTAAGGAATAATAATTAATGAGTCTTTCACTAGATCATTGGGCCATAAAACCATTTCAGACCCAATTTAGTATTTGGACCTTAACTTCCTCATTATTCATCGAAATTGGGCTTATAATATATCATTGGAAAGCTCTTTACGAGCCTTACCCAACTACACTATTAATGAACCCTTATCATGGACCAAGATAAATTAGATTGACTATTTTCATAAATAGAGAAGATTTTCAAAAACAGAAAGATAGACTTTTATTAAAACTAATACATCACAAGACTTTTTACACTTTCACTTCATTCGATAATCAAGCGACGTGAAAGTATTCATCATTGGGTTTGGTTTTTGGGGAGACACATTTGGGTGTCTACAATTTGTCTTCTGCTGCTAATTTAATAATCATTAATTCAATTTTAGTCGCTTCTTTCAATTATATCTTGTCGGTCTTTAAAGTTCCTCCTTCGGTCTGTTCTCGCATTGATAACTTGTTGGCTCAATTTTGGTAGAAGTCTGATTCACAATCTTGAGGTTTAGCAAAGCGTTCGAAAACACTTCTTCATTTGCCTAAAGGGCTGGGAGGTTTAGGTATACGTCAGTTGGAAAGCTTTAACTCTGCACTTCTTTCTCGGCAATGTTGGCGCGTTCATCAACATCCCCATCTTTTGGTTTTGAGGCTGCTTACTGCTAAGTATCCTTCCCTTCATTCTTTTAAGAATCGGACAATTCCTCGGTATTCTTGGGGTTGTTGTAGCCTTTTAACGGGTCTATCCACTCTTGATCGGGGTATAGCTTGGTACTTTGTTCGGGTTCCAAGGTTCGGATACTTGAGGATGATTGGTCTCAGGGGGGAGTTGTTGTTTTTCGTGATGGTTCTGGTGTGTTGGAGGATTCGACACATGTTTCTTCTATTATTAATCCGCGTTCTTATGCGTGGGACTCGACCTTAGTTCATCAGCTTTTTGATGCTTCTATAACACTTCACATCATGGATTTGGATCACCCTCTTCAGCCGATGGACGATTTCATCTACTGGAAGTTTTCTAGGGATGGATCTTTCACCACTAAGTCGGCTTACACAATGTTGCTATGTCATTTGGTGTCTTCTGGGGTCTTGGGTACAATTATGACCTCTTAGTGGAAACACTTCTAGGGGTTGCCTCTTCTGCCAAAACACTAGTGTTTTGTTGGAAATTACTTCACAATGCTCTGCCTCTCTCTGGAAATCTGCAGCTCCTAGGAATTTCGATCGATCCAACTTGTGTGTTCTGTTACCAAGAACGGGAAACATTAGGCCACCTATTTCGTGATTGTTCATTCACCTCTCATCTTGGGCTTGTGCGTCGATTGCCTTTTCTTCTCCTCTATTGCATGGGAAGCCTTTTACTGATAGGTTTGTTGATACCGTCTTTGAGCTTTGTTCCTCTCGAAA